TTCATGAGTTATACTTACATATTATTAAAAGTATTATATTTTCAACTTTTATTTAGAAGTTATCTTTCCTAATAATAGTATGTTAAAGATTATAATTTATGTATGCAGTAAAAAATGATAACGCACAGTAGTTAGGTGTTTTGCAATTAAACTTAAAAACTATTTTTTAAGGTTAATTTTATTCTTTAGCAAAATCTAAGGATGTATTTCAAATTTTAATTCATAAAATTTTGATTCACTTGATAACAAAAAAGGTTGTTGGAAGATGTTGTTAGTATCTGAATAAAATTATTGGTTTTTGGTATTTTGAAGTCCTAGTGAAGTTTGTTGTTTGGTATGAACCATAGTGTATTTGAAATTATTCTTGTAAAGTTTTTTCAGTTTTTCACATATTGGAGAAGTGTATAATATTAGAAAACCAGAAACTTACTTTTATTATAAAAAAGCCCACTTTCATCCAAGAATGTTTTCTATTTTTTCTATTTTGAGTAAAATGCCTTAATTACATGTATGATTACCTCACAAACATACAAATAGAAGATTTGGGTTTGGCAGAACCAATTTTGTGTTGTTAGCCTTAGTATTATAGGRAATTGACCTATTACAAAACTTTGAGATACGTATATTATATTATGACACATAGGTTAATATTGAAACATATGTCATAATTTTAATATGGGTTATATCAAAATTTCCAAACTTTTTTAGCCTCCCTAAAAATAAATAAGTGCGCCTCCCATTAATAAATAAATAAAAAATTTATAATATTTAATTACACATTATAAGACAGTAGTAAGGCCGGCCATGATGTATGGATCGGAATGTTGGGCTATGGATAAAACAATGGAAAGGAAAATGAGTGTTGTAGAGATAAGATTGTTAAGGTAAATTAGTGCCGAGAGAGGACAGAATAAGAAATGAGTATAAAATTATCAATATAATTTAAAGATTAATAAAAATTTTATTAGTCTCCAAAAAATATTAATTAATTAAAGTTTTGCATTTATTTTTTAGAAGGAGAAGGTAAAGTAATTATAGATAACACAGAAACAAACATGATATCATTAAGAAAAACAATTTATTTAACGATACATTCGTCATTGGATTATGAGGAATGTGCTCATAAATTAATGAAAATGCAATTGAAACCTGGTCAAGAAATAGAAATGTGTCATATGTTTTTGGATTGTTGTGGTGAACAAAGAACCTATGAAAAGTTTTTCGGCCTTTTGGCACAAGTAAATATTCAGCTAAAATATAGTGAAAATACTAAAAAGAATTTAGTGTTATTCATTGGAATATTTTTATATTTTCTTGTGATTTAATTTATATTTTTTAACTGTTTACAGAGATTTTGCCAAATAAATAATGTGTTTATAGAACCATTGGAAAAAATTTTTATTGACAGTTATGCAACTGTTCACCGTTTAGAGACAAACAAATTACGAAATGTTGCAAGATTCTTTGCACATTTATTGTTTACAGACTCTATATCATGGGTTGTTTTATCTACAATACATCTAAATGAAGAAGAAACAACTTCTTCTAGTAGAATTTATATTAAAATTCTATTCCAAGAATTAGCTGAACATATGGGACTTAATAAATTAAATGCTCGAGTTCAAAATCCGTAAGTAAAATTGTATTAATCTATTTTAATRCTTATTTTATTTATTCAATTTAGGTATGTTAATTGTTAGTATATAAATAACTAGCTGTCCCATAATACTTTGCTATTGCTAGATTTTACTATTATTATCTTGTTTAACAACTATGTTTAGATAGTTGCAACTTTTTTTTCTGAGGCATATAGTTTGTAAAACTGATTTCAATAATTTTTGAAATCGGTCCAGTATTTTTTGAGTTAATTTGTTACAAACGTACAAAAATACAAATCTTTCTTCATGATATTATATAGAAAAGAGACATACAATTGTAAAATGCTCTCACATAAATTTTTAGAATATCGTTGAATTTGTATATCTTTTTTTCCTGCTCTACTATTTCACACGTTTGTCGCTTTATTCATTCAATGACCAAAATATGTCCCCTAGTCTTGCTGTCATTGTTTATTGTAACACATACACACACACAAATATACAGACTTGTTGTACTTGCTGATGAAAAACAGCATTCCCATAATTTATTTGTTTTTAGTATTTTCCCAAGCTTTTATATTTAGGTGGATGAAAAATAATAAATAAAAATTACACTATATAGTAGGTATACATTAT